ATTATTAACAGGCTTTACCCATTTAAATTTGAATAACAAGACAGCTGAATTTCTATTTCGGTTGAGTTTATATATTCAAATGTATCATTATATTTTGAGAGATATAATAATATGGAGCAGAGACAAGGTCAAAGGACATAAGAGAGAAATTGATAACAGCCCAAAAATCTTTCACTACGGGACAAAGTGACACACACCGAAATAAGAAAAATTACTGGAGTTAAAGACATTATAGAGAAGATTAAATAAATGAGATGGAAATGGCAGGACACCTTCCATGAATAAAAGACAATAGATGGACAATATGCAACAAAAACATGCAAAAAAGAGGCAACAAAGACCTGATTGATTAATTGACTGATTCATTCATTCATTCATATAGTTTTGTGTAATGTATATCTAGACCTAATGTTTCTCTAAGATAATGCTTACTTCCAGGCTGTGCATTGAGTGGTTGAGATCTGATTACAGTCCAGAAGTGATTGAGCTGTTGTACAAACGTATATCTGAAATACAAAATTTGTTTGTATTGGTCGCAGCTCCTATTTTGACACACTTGTATTATTCTCATTCTCATCATCGACGTCATTGTCGTCACCACCATCAACAATCATCATCATCATCGTTCAGTCATCATAATCATCATTCTAATCCGCAACATCGTCACCGTTGTCGCAGTCATCATAAACATCATCATTATTTTCGTCGTCGTCATCATCATCCTCGGTATCTTCGTTGTCGTCTTTATCAACACCACCGTTATCATCGTCGTATTTATCACCATTATCATCATCGCTGTCGTCGTCACCATCATCATTATCGCCGATGTCGTCAACATCAACATCAGTATCAGCATCATTATCGTTGTTGCAGTCATATTTCTCTATCATCAATATTCGTAGTAATAGCAGTTATATTATTATAGACTAATCGATGTGACTATACAGAACACGTTCTTACACAAATTCAATGGTCCCAACATCTTGGGTCGGTGCCCTCCATTGCAATATTACGTCTCTCTTATATGTCCTTTGTTGGTGCGTCAACGTGTTCTCCGAGGTTGCAGTACTAGGACAGGCGTATATGCGAAATACGTTCGGTTGTTCGATCCATGAACCGACAGCTTCGGTAGTACCAACACGACGAGCTTGAATAATAACCCCCTTAAATCGAGCTTGAGTAACAAATACTGAAATTGAAAAAAAAAAGAAGATTTTTAATGTTAATCATCGTATTATCTAAAGAAAAAGTAGTAGGTAGGATTTTCATTCCCACAAGGCAGAAGATATGTGGAACTTCTATAAGCCTTGAATACGGGCCACCTGCTTTATAAACAGATTCATTAAATTTGATACTGGAAATTTGGTTGGGTATAAAATTATAATTGAAGGCAGATACGTTTACACTCAATTTTCTGTATGCGCATAACAGCATTAATTTAAATGTATTACGTATAACAAAGATCAATGGTGGCTCCAACAATTTGCCAAGAGGTCAACAAGTCTGACGGTGTAATACATTCTCCAAGTATCGAAATGCACGCCATCGTGTACGGATTCAATATTTCGACATTAATTATGTCCTCATTAGGAATGATGTCATCATCAGGAATTATTTTTGTATGCTCTTTTTCGTTTTTTGGATCACACTGAAATTCAATTATGCGAAGCATTGGTACTGTGTGGGATTCTAATACCTACATTGCTACTTTTGGACCGATTGTTGTACGAGGTGTAATTGCTGTTTCTTACTCTGTTTTATCTTTTTGATTGATTGTTCATGTTATCCATTTGTATTTTTTGATGTTCTCCTTTTTGGAGGTTTTATTTAATAAATTGAAATTGAATACCATGTGAGAGAAATCTCGTGCCTTGTATAATATACAATATCATTTTTAATTTCAAGATTGTTTATCAAAATCTACTTTCCCTCCATTTCAACCCAAATCCTCTTCGTAGCTCGACAGCGACTGGTGCTAAGAACGTCCTGTCACGGTGGTACCTAGTCGCTGATGAATATTGTGTATTTATTATGGACTACACAAAAGCGTGTCTATTGAACTGGGTTACTTGATTGAAAGAAGAATTCCATTAGGCTAATCGGCCTAGGAACGACGGAGCTTTATTGTGGTTAACCCATGAAGCATACGAATCGTCTGCATTGAACGCAAGGAATTCCCTCTACTCTGAACTGATCCGGCTATTTGACTTTAATTCACGGAACGCTTTGAACCAAACCAGGTTCAGTGATTGTGATCATAGCACCAAAAGGTTTCCCATTCTGTTATGGTTGACGGTTTCTCGGCATGGTGTTAAAAATGTACGCCCTATATTCACAAACATTCTTTATTTACAAAATAGGCTACTACTCCAGTTTTTCCATTACACGAGCCTACACACGAATCAATCATTCCAAAAAGTCTTTCACTCCTTCAAGTCCTTTCCCCAAATCACTTGCTCAGACACGTAGGCCTATTCACACGACATTTTCCTCCAGGTTAGATAATAGGCCTAGGCCTAGATTTAACATTAATCTAGATTGCAAAATTATCGGAATGCCGAATCCATAATAGGGGCACACTTGACACAGTCAAAATTTTAGTTGAGATGCCATTATTATGCAAAAAAAATAAATAAATAAATAAAAAATAATAATAATTAATAATTCATGTATGCTCCCATCTTATACTCTTTGTTTTAACAAGTTTGATCAGAATACACACATTCAGTGTAACCTCATTGTGTTTGTGTTTTTTTTTAGGTGATGTATATTCGTAAGCAGCCGATAAACATCGTATTTTTCTTCCCACCCTCAGGCTATGTTCTCACACGGCAGCTGCCGTGCGTTCATACGAGAAAATCCGCTAACGGTTAGCGCTAACCGATCGAGCGTTCTCACACAGGTGCTAACGGTTAGCTCCCGATCCGGATACTAGGTCTCTCGTGAGAAACAGGCTACTATAGTACAAATAATACCTTGAACTGATAACAATAGGGTTTTGAAATCGCATCAAAAGTGCCGGATTCGAAATGGAAATATTGCCTTAAAACTAATCCCACCGGTGACATGCTAAAATGATTTCATTGGCTAAAGGCCATGGGCTGTTTTGAGGCGGTTTACGGACCTTAAGCCGGTTTTCCACTAGGCGAATATATTCGCGCGAATCGAAAGCATCGGTTCATACGCATATGCGTTCACATTTCTATCGGAGTTTTTACGAAGCGAAAAAATGCGCAACCAATCAGAGCTCAGGAAGCGAACCGAGGCTTTGATTCGCGCGAATAAATTCGCCTAGTGGAAAACAGGCCTGTAAGGCCTATTTATGAACTAAATAATATTTTGATGAACCATAGATGAACAAAACGGATATTATATATTTAATTCTATAGGAAACAACTTCGTAATTTTATAGCAGATTAAGTAGTTGAATCGTTTTTTTATACGAACCCAATAGAGTGTTTATCGGATCGATTAGGTTTATTGTACGAGCGCTTACAATTTAATGAATAACAACTTGATTCTTGTTACGGGCCAACGAAAATTTGGTTAGTGGTCCAGCATCATTTGAAATATTTTGCATATTTTTACGAATTTATACCACATGGCAATCAATTTGTTCGATATCAGGGCGTGACCGATTAGGTTTTTGAGGAGGTAGTTCTGAAGGTCTGTGTTCACACACTGGCAAGAATTTGTTGACAATTAATTTGTCACATAAAAATTAATATTGTGAACAGACCTTTATTTAACTTCCATCTTTAATTCATCATATATTGTACCCATGGAGGAAATGTATTAATAATTAGGAGCTGTTTGTGACCATGTTGCGGCCTATCCCTGTAATACGCAATGTCACTATGTACATCATTCAATATAACTATAGCCTTAAGTCTATTTGGATAACTCTTGTATATTGAAATAAAGACATATACATGGCCCTGAATAAAAACAAGTATAATATCTTATTAATGCCAAGGCCGTAACACAATACATCGTCTAACGCAACATCGGTTCTAATCACCAAGGTACGACTCGATTGATTGAAACATCTTTTTACAAAGGTTAGGGGTACATTTTTAATAGCAATTTTAATAGACCTATTGACCACAAGTAGTCTAACAATAATTATCAAGAATTTTAGTTTTATATTTTTGTATTTGTTCACATAATTCCTGTCCCTAACATAAGCAGAGGCCTAAAATGTGTCCATTTCTTGTTTGCTATACATTTCCCACGCTTTACGAAGATGACATTAGCCCTATGTATCGCACTACATGGTACTGCTGTTGACAAACACACTAGACTTCATATTATTACATCAGTACTGTATAACAATTGAGATACGTAGGCTTGCAACATAACATTAGGTGTACTATATGCAAACAGTATAACCATACCGTGGGCGTGTATGTAGGCTAAATATTGGGACAAGGTTGGCTACAGTGTTTGACAGGTTAGACCTATATCAATAGGACAATTATGTTAATTTCACGACATTACTAGTTAATTATCATACTTCATTATACTTAATATTTTAAAGAGGCCGAGCCCATAAGCATCAACTTGGCTTAATTTTTGTACTATTATGAAGGTCGAGCTGGTAGAATAGTAACTATACAATTGTGGATATATCAGGAGTGCCAATCACCAATCTTTACATAGAGGCACTGATCTCTACTATAATAAGTATTCCTGTATAGTAGATATCTCTACTACAATAGCTATTATAGTATAGATCAGTACATACAGGGCTATGAATATTCGCTTATCCCATAAACACGGACACCATTTCACCTAATTATTTAAAATCAAGAATTTATATGTTTTTGGTTTATAAAACATACCGTTTGTGTAAGATACTGTATAAAGTAAGATTTCAATTAATGTTCTGATATTATGTATGTCCTATATCAGAATTAAAGTTAAATTGTCATATTTCATTTACATATAGTGTAAAATATGTTATCAGGTCAGGCCATTAATCATTTACATGAGTGTTTCAGGATTTTGGTAGGCCTAATCATGTGGCCGTTGACATTCGTATTTTTCAAAAGATCAATTATCAGCGTATAATAGGCCTACAGGACCGTTTCTTCTTCAAACATATGACCATGCACACTGTTATCATTAAGATTTGTATAAATGTGGTGTTTTTTAAACTAAACTATTTATCTTGCGAATAAACACCTTGTAGCCATATCCAGGCATTCAATTTCCAATTCAATCCAGTCTCTCAATTGTAATTAACCTGCGGTTAATGAAATTAAAATCAATATTTTCTTTAACAACTTATTGCTTGATCGATATATATCCTTGTATATATAAGCCGTAGATATGTTCGAATTTATCGGCTTTTCGATTTGATAAGAATTTAAAGACCCGAATACAGAATGAATGGTATCAAGTTTTTGTTCACATTAGTTTTTATTAAATACTGTACACATAAACAATTCATCCGCCATTCTTCCTGTGTTTCAGCAGCCGCCTGAAATGTATAAAAATCGCATTCCTTTCGTGCAGTATGGCTCTTTGTACGTTCAAGAACGTCGTACACTCTTCAGAAGCAGCTTGTCTCCAGATGTACTGTCAAATCACGACCAGAAGGACCTCACTGGAAATAGGTTTTCAGATTTTCGTGGAATATGCTTGATGTTTTCACCGAATAATTCAATCCAATAAACAATTTTTAGTTCACATAACACACATCATAATCATTTAATCCTTTGACATTTGGTGCAGAATGTGATATATTTAAAACGTAAGCCTACATTGAATGAAGCGGCACCTTTCTGAAATATTTTAGGCCGAAGAATGCTATCAAAAGTATTTCAACGAAGCTTATTGTTGATACGTATCCCTGTGATAGACTTGATCCGGAATAAACAAATTTAAAGAAATACTTTTGAAAAGTGTTAAGTTATTTCAGACAAACACAACTGATCTATTCTGAGTGTCAATCAAAACTTTACTGGCCAATCAGAACAGGGCTAGGAATACGCATACCCATTAGTGTTGTCCCACGTGACAAAAACGCAAGTATTGCGTGCGTTTAAGCTGTGATGTTGTGGAACATTAGAAACACTAATTAAAGGGTGGGTCTTCCGGAACGGTTCATTTTTCAAAACAATCTTCAAGATACTCACCAAATCAACTATTTTGTCTTAAGCCATTGACATTAAAAAAAACCCATTTTTTAAAAACAATTTAGTGAGAAATTCAGACCCCCATACCTAATTTGAAACTCATAACGTGCTACTATGCCTATTAATGCTTTTCCTTCCACACCCAAAGTCAATTACGAATATTTAATGTAGGAAAACGCAATTCAGGGCATTGTCCGTCATGGGAAGACCTCCGGGCCCCCAGTGCGATCCTATCATTACTCCAACCACGCCATCTGAAACAGGTCCTCCCCAGTGTCGTCGCTATTGTGGAGGGGCACGGGGGAATTCCCCCAGTTTTCCTCCTCCCCACCCCCCTCCCCAAAGTATAAAACCACAATTCGTCAGGTAGAAAAAGAAATGATATGTATTTTCTACATTAGTAGACAATCTATCTATAAAATAGATTAAATAAGCTTCTGAAACCCCATAAAATGCCCTGTACCCAAATGCTTGCGAAAACAATTTCGCAAGTGATTCCCACCCAAATCACTCCTCAAGCATTTGGGAAAGTACTGAGCATTCAATACTTATAACACGCCAGGTAGGGCAAACATCATTTCGTATATTATAATAAAATACGCTATCGGAATAATGCATACATATTTTTATATTATATAAAACACATATATCTAACACATAGGTCTATGACATATTTTTACATACATTATATACTGTACATACTATATATAGGCCAACATAATACGTTAAGGGCACATAGAAAAAAATGTTATATTATCACTCCCACCCGCGTCAAACATTTGGGAAATATTGATGCTGGAATAAAAAAACAAAAAAAAATCAACAGCTTAAAAAACAACGCAATTTTGTGACTGTAAATACATTTTCTTTCAAAAACAATAAAATTAAACCAGTTTTTATACAATATTTACAATATATTTGCCCAATAAAAACAGTCCCTCCCTGATTAATAAAAAAAAAGCAATATTCTACTGTTCCGACTAAAAACAAAACAAAACAAAAATCTCCCTCCCTTATCACTTAAAAAACATTATGCTGAAAAAGAGACTTAGGTTAGAGTATAGAGCTTAGGGACACAGATAACACTAAATTGTGAGTAAACATTCTTTAGTTCTTCAATGTGCACCAGAAAGTACTGTACTATTAGTGTTTTTTAACTTCAAGGCCATGTCAAGGAATATACTGCATACAAGGTACTATATCTTCAGTGTGTTTTAATTCTATCAGTGAGGTTCGTTAAGGCCTACAGTACGGTACAATCTTTACTTTAATTACTTACCTGACAACAGTCGTCCTGGGACATACCCATCGTTTGATATTGTTACATCATAGACAAATGTGTTAGGATTCTGAGCGGCAAATGGTGTAGTATCCTGAGTAGTAGAATCCATAATCTGCGGTGTATGATTAGGCATCATTGTTACACAGCTTTGTTCCGGTGCCCCACTACCGAATCCCCAGACACCAGTGAGCACGGTGTTTATCACCAGTATGAAACATACACAATGCATTGTTTACTATGCGGGATACAGTAAATGAGAGAAATCCTGTCCCAGAGCTTTTAGGATGGGAGGCAGCCTAACGCCTTGAACGGTCAATACCGTTGGCAAAAGAAGAAATTCCTGTCAATACAACCTGCGTTCGCTCAATATCAAACAATCGTGAGCAACTCAACGAGACGTTTAAATAATAATTGTGACTACTCTACGGCTGTAAATGTTCCACTGCTTCGGATGCCAAACGTTGTGGTACAATACGCCTAAATTTAGCAAGTTATGCTTAGCCCATTGAATAAGCAACCTTTACAAAACTAAACTGTTTTGGAACAATAGGTAGCCTATTCAGCAACCTACACACCCTTTTCATCCATGTATAATAAATCCATTGAATTTACATGGTGCGATGATGCGTACAGAAATCGCAATCATTGCCCAGAGAGCTCAAGTGAAATTTAAGGCTTTTTTTTTATTATAGTTTTTAAACAATATGATTTTTTTTTATTCATTGGCTGTTCAAAATATCACGCATGCAATTCGATATTGGGTTTCGAATTCACAACGTAAAGTTACTTGCCTCCGCCTACAGTACTTCGAAGTTGTTCAATCGTAATAATATATAAAACATTTTTAAAAGACAGTCGTAAAAACAACATTAAAAATGGACTTGAAAAAATAATTTGAGAAATATATAGCCAAATTTTAATCATTTACGATGAAATACATATCCAGGAACAAAAATGTAAAGCGGATTAGCTATTACCATCACTGTATTGTGTCAATTGGCAAATAACCTCCACATTCCCTATCCTCGCAGTACAAATTTATCTTTTTGTGACGTCACAAAAAGATTTTCAGTGACTTTCGGGGGGGATTTTTGGGGGTAAGGCATTGTCCAATACGTTTAATATTGGGTGTCCGAGGTTTTCCAATGACATTCTAAACAATGATGACAAGATTTTGGATTTCTAGAAACCGTTTCATATCCATTTTAAATCCTACGTTGCGAGAATGAAAAGCTCTGAATTTAAAGCATTTAACTCCATATACTCACCTTATAATAGTAATAATAATAATAATAATAATAATAATAATAATAATAATAATAATAATAATAATAATAATAATAATAATAATAGATGATGATGATGATGATGATGATGCACCATTTTTATACATACTGCCTCTATACGCTTTACATTACCCAGTCATGTAAACAGCTATATATGGCAGTACAGTACAATATATCAACAATTACTATTGCCTAGTCAGTAGCATAAACCAACAGGCGTCCTGTAATCAGAAGAAGAGTAAGGAAAACATTGTATCATTCACTTAAAAAGTAGGTCCTAAAGACTGACTGCCAGTCACAATTTAGATTAAATGTTAGGTATATAATAAACAGTATTATTTATGGGTCTGTTATTCAACCAGAAAAAAATATTCTAATGTTCTGTCAACTTTCAATTGAAAGCTAACGACTAAAGTAAGATATACCATGGAGGTATATTTATACCTCCATGGATATACATAGTGAGCGATTTAGATATTTTAAAATCCATTGTTAAAGTTATTAGCTCAAATCAGACCCCTCGTAGAGGGCGCACAGCATATGGTTTAATGGAAAACTGTGTATCTAATCCATCGATTACGAAGAGATAATTAATTTCGTAAAAAAAAATCGTACATTTAAGTTTTATTATCAATATGGGGCATCTGTAATTGTAAGGCGCATTTATACTACACTAGACCTCACAATATAATACACCTATGAACGTCGATCGGTGGGGGACAAGTGGACAAGCCACCCCCTCACTTTTCGAAGTAGGGGGGCTTTTCAAAGCGAATTGAAAGAACAACAATGGACGAAAGCTAAATTTATTATGAAAACAATGTACTGTCCGTTGTTAAAATTGGAAGCGTGTAAACCTATTAGGCCAACATTTTTACAAACTCAAAAGTGTACAATTTCTACTATAAACGATTTATTCCTTGTGTATATTATTAAGACCCGTATATAGGCCTACTATTGTTCAATATAATCTGCATACATAGATTCCTGTTTTTCCTAATTTCAAAAAATTATAGTTAATCAATTAAATTTTATATAGCCGTTATTAAAAAAATAGGCTCTTATAGGCCTTCTATTTCGACTTATTTAAGTAGTGATACCACAGGTTTAAGAACTTCGATGTTACTTGACGCAATCTCATCATGATATCATGATAATGATAAATTAAGTAAATCACATTTTATGTTTGTGAAATAAAATGCTAACTAATGTTTTGTGTGCTTCCTATCTCTTTAGTCCTGTTTGATCGTAAGTTAGACTGTAGTATTTCCACTCAATCAATCACTCAGTTAATCAATCAATCAACCAATCAATTTATTAGGAATAATACCTTAAGATCGGTGGCACACACAATAGTGGTGTATCCAAAATAACAGTTTTTTACAAACAAAAAGAAAGCTTAAAACTAGGCACACACAAACACAACTTAATGCAAAACAAAACAAAGAACTTAAACTAACAAAATAAAGTAAATCAAACAAAAGCAACAAATATAATTTTGAAAATTATAAAATAAATGTCAGAAGTGGTAACATGAATCTTACAAAAAGTGCTTATTTAAAATTGATGGTTTTAAAGGGTTGTGGCGAGATATGAACATTATATATTTCGGAAGAATAGAAAGGACGATTATTTAAGATCCTATAGTACAAAGTAGTAAATTTTACCCAAATTTGAGTGACAATTATGGCAATTATAATATATTCTATAAGTGATCAGAACTGATTTTCATCTATGTAAATACTGTTGGACGAAAATATAATTAAGTTTTATCCAATCACAAAATTTTGTGTCTGTGCTGCACAGATACGTCATTTCTTAAGTGATGACATTACACACTATAGAATTGCTTAAATCATGGAGGTATTTTATACCTCCATGCTTAAATGACTATGACATTAAGTTTGGTACGGAGAATTTATTTTTTATTTAGTTAAATCTTCCGACAAAAACGAAAACAATAAAGTTGGTAGGGGCTGCCGAGGATGGGCAAAACTACAAAACTGTCATCCGAAGATGTGCCCACCCAGAAACATTTCTTTGATCAATGATTTTTTCCACAGCAAAACTACCACCTGAACTGAACAAACCTAAGAATTCTACTTCACGGCAATTAATACAGCGTCACTACATAAAAAATATTGTACTAACTTATATTTTACTACTGGTTTTTTTTCCAACCTGGTCTTCCATACAATTTTTTTTGGCTATTGTATTTTTTTTTTAAATCAACACAGTTATCACAAGATATACAAAATGTATATTGTTTCTTAGACCTTTCTCCAATTAAAATACTGACCAATCAGAAAAGGGCCAGTATGATGCGCATTCTACAAACACATGACGACACGTCCTGGGGGATCTTAGTAACAACCATTATTCAAAGTGCGGAAAGATCGATTGTTATTTATTATGTGTGTTCGCAGGCTTGAAAAGAGTCCCAAGTGTCATAATTACTACAAGATAATTTTATAGACTTATTGTCTTATATACATTAATCTCATCCGTCTTTGGCAACTCCTCCATGTCATAAGCATTACTCACAACAAGGTAATCGTGATGTATTTTCCCCTACACATTTGACGTATCTGCTTTTGGTATGGAATCATCGGTCTTGGGCAACTCCTCATTACTCGAGGCACTTAACGGAACATCCGAATTTTCCTCCTCTACAGGACCGACCTTCATGGATCTACAATATTGAAATGTACAACAAAGCTACATGTTTATTTGAAGAAGTTTAAATGCAACAAGACATAGGTCTATTGGTGAGACAGTCAGTTGCATACTCCCAATATATGTCTGATTCTAGGTCGAGTTAAAATTTTAATGTACCGTATAACCAGGTATAACATAGGGTAAATGGCGAGTCGAATGGCAGAGCGGATAAGGCAGGGGCGCCGCAACCTACAGGCATAATAATGTCGGCGCTGGTTTGGGCACGCTCCCCTATGGTTGTAGTGGTGGAACAAGTCTCCTCAGATAAGGACTCAAACCGTTGGCATAACCTGGTGTACACAGTTGGCTCGTGTGCACTTTAACGAACCCAGTACATCCTTCGAGAAGAGTATGGGGTTACCCCGGTGTCGTACTGGTCCAATCAGTCCCTATCGTTGTGGACAAACAAAAGAACGCCTCTTGGCAGCTGATTGGACATGATGTGACCCTTGGGGGAGAAGGAACTTGTTGAATGAGTTCGTCCACCCATGTGCGCATTTCAGCCTATTTAAAGCTGCAAGTCACCAGGGGAGGATCCAGTTAGGGGACACGGGGGAACGTGCCCCCCCTGTTTTACCGCTAAATTATAAAAAATTCAATGCAAAACAATGTTATGTGCTACTCACCTATTCAGAAACTGTTGTGCCCTGACCCCCGTTTGACAAATTCTGGATCCACCCCTGGTCACAGTTTATTTCCTACCTTTTCCTAACGTTTATACATGATTGTACCGCAATTCATACATTAAAGTGTAATATTGACATGCATGATAGAACATATTTAAATATGGTGGTATCTTTTAAAAAAGGGTTTTCAATGAGACCTGCTTGGTCAGAATTTTGTTAAACATTGATATTAAATGAGTATAAACATTTAAACAATGTACTCAACTTGTTAATTAGCAATGTCCAATCTATTCTTATTGTATAATGTTTGCGGGAAAAAATGGTGGTATCTTTTAAAAAAGCGTTTTCAATGAGAACTGCTTGGTCAGTATTTTGTTAAACATTGATATTAGATGAGTATAAACATTTAAACAATGTACTCAACTTGTTATCAATGTCCTATCTATTCTTATTGTATAATGTTTGCGGGAAAAAAGCCCTTATTTACCGTTTTAGATTTCGTAACAACAGCACTGAAACCACTGCTCCACACGGAACTCCAATAACTACGAACATAAACCAGATCCAATTTTCTTCAAACCATCCCTAGAAGGAATACAAATAGAATATATAAGATTGTAGTTTAGTAGATGGTGTATAAGAATCGATTTCATATCTCAATATTACTGTTTCGAGTTTTCTCAGGTAAATTTTCTTATTTTGACAAAGCAGAGTAGTTCTTGATTTGACAGATGGAAAAGGTATTCCACAGCTCAGTTTATTCAAATCACCAACTAGAGGGTGGATGCGGAAGTGTGAAAGTGATAAGAATGGTAAAATCTGCTATGGCAAACCTGAAAATCAAAATAGAGCCATCAAACTACAATTTTATATTGCACCATAAAGTGTTCATGTGAATTGCCTTGATTGGTCTTTAGGAACGAGCACTTCAGTAATTTGTGTTTTCGAACTGACCAGGGGCGGCGCCAGGAATTCTGCGACGAGGGGTCCAATCTTCCCGACAAGGGGGTCCACGCCTTCCCCCCGCCGGAGAAGCCTAGCCCCACTCCCACCCGGTCGGGGAAAAATTAATTTCTCGGGGAAAAATTGAATTGGACGGGAAATTTTTTTAAAAATTAAAAGATAATAAAATGATGTGTTAATTGTAGGGGGGGTGGGTCAAGAGTTCATTTCCCCCGGACCCACCGCTAGCACCGCCCCTTTTCTCAATGGCAGTACACGTCACTTACCTTTTCAGCGTACTCATTCTTTGGTACTGCATCGCCAGTGAACAATTCAGCATCTAGACCCTTCTCGATGACGTCAGTGGGTGTTTCAGTAATTACGGACATGATTTCTTCGTTAGTCTGTGCAGTACCATTTACCATTATTATGACTTCCACTTTACTCACAGGTTCTCTAGATCGTGAGAAAAAACGAACCATGTTTATTGACTAATTGACAAATCTCATTTCCGAAATTCATTAATGTTCATTTTTTTAGACTTATTTTTTACAAAGAATTTCTTCATCCTTTGTTTATACCTGATAATTTTTGTTTTAGTTGGTAGGTAGTCATGTTTTACAAATTTCTTTAAAATTGTAGAATGAGATTCAACTAATGCGCAGTTGCAAAATGCTATTTTAGATTGGATAGGCACATTAGTGTTTGGTTTACCATACCCATGGTATAGTTAGGCCTATGTATATGTTGCTTTTGAAATCACATCTCTGCATAGAAAATGTAACTATTTTTTCTGATTTCTCAGCACAAAGACGCTTGACTTATACCCTGTATCGACCGAAACATAATCTTCTACAGACAACACAACAACTTCAACCTCGTCAGTTGACCCTGAAGAGAAACTGTACAGTTCGGCGATATCGTCTGCAAGCTGACTTTCATCAGACACACTTCCCGACATGTAGAATACAAACGCTGATGTAGCAATTACTAATAAGAACGAACAGAATTATATTTCTTAATAATTTCAGTAAAATAATGTCAATGTGTCACAAAATAACGGCGAAGTATATATTTAATATAAAAAGTCGCCGCTTACCTATTTCACATCGTTCACCTGCATATTCTTTAGTACACCTGCACCTGTAACTTTTCTCGTCGTTTACCTCACAATCTCCATCGTTCAAACATGGCGAAGATTTGCATGGATCCATGATGATGTTACAAGTTTCCCCTGTAAATCCAATACTGCATTCACATCTAAAAACATACCCAGTTAACTTATTCAAAATAGAGAAAGTATATGACACAAAAGAAAGCACAAGTACTTCATTATTTAATAGTCAACGCTATAATCTCCTTTTTTCTTTGTTAAGAATGATGACCATGCTGATATATAAAAAGATGATATCAAACTACAGAACATCACATTTGAAATATTTAGCATTTACCTGTAAGATTCGTCTGTTGTTACACAAGTACCTCCATTATTACACGGCATTCCATGCGCATCACATGGATCCTTAAAGTCCTCACATTTCTCACCAGTGAATCCGGGCTTGCAGGCGCAATCAAAGCCACCAAACGTATTTCTACAGATGGCATTTTCAGGACAGACATCACCTTTTGTACACTCGTCAACGTCTTGGTCGCATGTACTCCCTGACAATGTTTCTGGGCATTTGCAATTAAATTTATCGACGTCATCCGTACATGTCCCACCGTTTAGGCAAGGTGATGATGCACATTCATCGATGTTGTTGTCACAGTTGATTCCTTCGTAGCCGGGCAGACATTGGCAGGCGAAGCCGTCAGTCTCCTCAATGCACTCTCCATTATTACACTCTACCTTGTCGCATGTGTCAAGAACAACCTCACAGAATTCACCAGTGTATCCAGGGATACACTCGCACGAAAACCCGGCAATGTGGTCACGGCAGGTTCCTCCATGTAAACACGCACCATCTAGACACTCGTTCACATCCTTCTCACAATACTTTCCTGCACATTGATTAAGCATTTAAATTATTACTATTTCACCAGATGTCAAGTGACTACTACCGGTTTACCCAACTGAGCTAAGCTGCTTTGTGTGTATTCATTAAAAGGTTGGTGCCTGAACATTAACACAGTTAATGCATAAAATAACGTGATCTTACCTGTAAATCCATGTAAACA